ATAGTTTTAAACTTGGTCCCTAGATAAAGAGCTACTATAATGTGATAAACAAAAGTGGTTTAATAAGACTTAACTTTTCCAGCAGTTATGAGTAGCCCTGCGAGCATGAAATTATTGGTAAAAGTTATATTCTCAAGGGACTTAAGTGATAATTCATTAAATAAAATGAGACTATTTTTGTTGCATAAAATTGTTAATGATGCTTATCTGCTTGGTATGTATCATTTTAGCCTTTACTGTGATCACAGTAGGAAGACTGGGACATTAGAAAGTTTTGAATCTGGAACAGAATTTGGGCAACTCTAAGTTGTCTCTCAGTTTGAGTCTGTGATACCATAATATAGATTCCTATCCACATAATAAAATGAATATCTTTATACATAGACTACAAGTAAGAGGATTGGTTGCAACAATATGAAATTAATATATCATCAGTCCAATGGATTTTTGTAATTAACAATACTTAAATCTGATTTGTCCTCTGATTTTGCTCCAAGTGCTTGTTCTAGATTGATTTTGGTTCAAATACATTTGAATAAATATTAAGAAAAGTTTTCAAAAAGTATGTGTTGAATATGTACTAAAAACAGGTTTTCTTCAGTTTGTCAATAATGTCATCTCTACTAATAAGGTAACAACTGATTGGTTCTCACAGAGGAAACTGCACTGCAAGCAAGATGGGGAGGAAGGAACAGAAGAAGACACTGAAGAAAAATGTACCATCTGTTTGTCTATATTGGAGGAAGGTGAAGATGTCAGGTAAATTGTACCACTGAGTAACAGAACAGTGTTAATATTCTGGGTTTGAGACCATATTTGAGTATAGTACACTACTCTGCAATACTCCCTGCAATTGAAAACACACTTTTCAGTTTGTGTTGTTTTCCGGTAGAACGTAGGTTGTGTTTGACAGTCTTCCATAAGTTGACTGCCTGTCTTACAACGTAAACCCAAGCTAAGAACCCTCAATTGGGCTTTCAGTGTATCTTAAGACAGATTTAAAATGATATAGTAGAGCAGAAGCTAGCTGATGCTTGACTTCATTGCCCATATATATTTCTTCTTGGAACTATAGAAAATGCAGGTTCAACTGGAAAGGCCAGTGAAACTTGGGGAAGAACATGCACGTGCAAAAAAAACCCTGACACTTCAATAGCAAAGCCCATATTACTTTTTTTATGCAGTAGGTATGTTGATGTGGAAAAGCTTTATTAACACTAATGTTTTTCTGTTCTGATGACAGGCGCCTGCCATGTATGCACCTTTTCCACCAAGTATGTGTGGACCAGTGGCTGATTACTAATAAGAAGTGCCCCATTTGCAGAGTGGACATTGAGGCTCAACTGCCTAGTGAAAGTTGACGCCGCTTTCCAGAACTCTTGTCATCCCTCTCCCTCCCTTATCCTTCCTGGTACTGCAGTCAACCAAAGAGAAGACAGTTGAGTTTCAGTGTATTTATAAAACTTCTTTTACGTTTTACTTTTTTTTTTTTCTTTTCATTACTGTATTTTTGCATGGTTCCTTGTATTGCGTTTGTTTGCACATATTATGGGCTTTGTGACCCCAAACTTGCAGGCAAGATTAGCTGCTTTAGGAAGTAGAATTGTGTGGTCTCTTTTGTTTTTTGGTTTTGTTGTTTGGTTTTTTTACATAGTATCGAGCTTTGAAAGTATAATTTCACTCATTACTAACCTTGGATTCCTTAATTTAATCGGTCATATATTTAGTTTAAATGTATAAAGATCATCTAGAAAATGACAATATGTATTGAGACATTCCTTAATTAGGAAGAAATGGCTGCTGTATATTTACAATATCAGTTCTGAGTCAAATAACATCCTAAATACTGGGAACAGAATATGAACTATATTCAGTTTGACTGATACATATAGCATACTCACCACCAGAGTTTTTGTCTGATCAGATTTTTGTGTTCGTTTTTGAAATTTCAGCACAATGCAGATATATTTGAATGTCAATACTAAACATTTAGACTGCTGTTCAGATTGTATTTATCATTTTCTTCTTGTGTCTAGAAATTTGAATCCCTAACTTAAATATTTGCTGCTGTGAAACAGCTCTAGTGAACACTAAATGTTGATTTCAGTTAGCTGGGTTGTAGATACTTGCAGATTGAAAAAATTACTAGGGAAGTGGAAAAAGAGCTTAGAAACTGTTTGGTCTTCTGCTAACTTAAGTGAAGTATCTCCGCACACTGAGGTTTTGGGGTTTTTTTTTAATATGAAACCATTCAATGAGGACTTAGAGCTGCAGGGTTTTTGTTTTTTGTTGTTTTGGTGTTTTTCATTTTGGGTTTTGTTTGTGGGGGAGGCAGATATACATGCATTCATAGAACTTCTGAGGGTTCCAGGTGTTTCTTGGAATTTCGATTAGTTTAATAAAGTTAGCTAAATCCACTTGCCTCTTGTTTTATTTTTTCATTAGTAAATTGAAAGCCTGTAAATTTCTGTAGAAACTGAGACACAAATTATGTGGTTATCTAGTTTTTGCCTTGATCATAGATTCCCTCTATAAATTACCAACAGTCCATCACTGATTGAAATATTTTCTATAGTTAAGATTTGCTGCATAATATAGTATATAGAATTAAGTTATAATGTACTAACATTTCGCCTTTGGAGGAGGTTTTAAATCCACATCAGGATTCAAGTTGCTTATCAACATTCTTTCACATATAATAAATTATAGTTTATTTAAATGTGCTCAATGTTGCAAAATGCAAATGTGTAAAATCATTGAGACAGTATTACTGTCACTTTGGAAAAGATGTTCCTCGGGGATCATATATGAACATGTCCATAAGCTTGCATTAAGCCACCTGCTTTGTAAGTGGATTGAATAATAAATACCTTCAGTTTCTCTTGTCTTTGTCTTTCATAACCAGATCAAGTGTAAAATGGTTTACAGTAAACCTAGAAGATGAACTGTTATGTTTACACTAACTAATCCATTTATAAATATTACCTTATCTAATTTGATGCCTGTTTTTGTCTGGTTAATGCTGCTTCCTTTTCATTTTAATTTTTTTTTCATCTGTTAGGAGTAGCATTTGCCAGTGCAGTGTCTATTGCTGGCAATAAACTTAACATCTTGGGCACTGAGGCTTTAAGTCGAGAGAAATTTTATTCCAGCATGTGTGATAAATGGACATTTTTAAACTTAATTGTATTGCTAAAACTGAACTTAAAACCACTATGTGCTTGTACAATGGGGGGATATGGGAGAGAGGCAACATATGATATGACTGCTTCAAAACCTGACATGGTTTTATGCTAAAAGTCCTTAAACTTTATGGGTGTAGGAAGCTGAAAGTGAGTATGAAGTTGAAGCTGCATTGGTAAAAATAAATAAAAGTAACTAGAAGGACTGAACAGACTTTCTGTTCTTTAGTGAGTGTTGAAAAGAAGTTGTTTGAACACTGATGCTTTAAATCTGATGATACTCACTTTTAAAGTTTCCAATAAGGTACTTCAGAGACATAGGACAAAAAAAAAAGGCGGGGGGGGGGGGGGAGCTGCTCTGAAATAGCTGAGACTCCTGGTTATGTGATAAAGTCTATTTTGGCTTCCTTACAGGACAAAGAAGCACAGGTTGGGGGATAATTATTATTTAATTTTTTTTTTAGGAAGTATTTTATGCACCCGCTCTGGGTGGCAGGTACTAGAAGTATTTTAGTGGTCCATGAATTGACTTGTTTTATAAACTGCTACTGATACTGTCTTGCTTTTAAATGTATGCATAACATTGTAATGTGATGTTGAACACTTAGGTATTTGTCAGGAATTGCAGTGTTCTGATCTTACATGCTATTGCAGGGGCTAATAAAGATGCAGCCTACTTCTATTCCGGAAAGTTGTGATTTAACCGTAATTTAAGGGAAGGAAAAAGAATAGGCTTTTGCTTTTGAGAATTTCCACCACTTACTGTGCTTTATATGCTTAGATGCATTGCCTTAAGTTTTCTGCAGCATCTTTGACTTTAAAGATAAGATTCTCAACAGTATGCATCAAATTACTTTTCATACAAAATTCCATTGTCAAAAGAAATCCTTTTGTATGCAATAAATAAAACGTTAGACTGGTATAATTCAAAATCTGTTTCTTATGTAAGTTTTCTTTTTGCCTTGTTTTGCCTTTGTAAGCAGATTCTTTTGCAAATGTGTTATTACAGCTATGGCCTAGGAAAGAATTCTCTTTTAGCAACCTTTGGATATAGAAGCATAGAATGGTTTGGGTTGGAAGGGACCTTAAAGCTCCTCCAGTTTACCCCTGCTATGGGCAGAGACACCTTCCCCTGGACCAGGTGTTCAAATCCCCATCTAATATGCAATCTCCTGGTGCAATGGGAGGCACCTGTGTGGTGCCAAGCCCCAGAGAGGTCCAGCATATGCTAACAGAACCACCTGTGAAACTGCCCTTGTGTTCCTTTGTGTTGCCCTTATGTTGTCCTGCGTAACTTGTGGGTATGTGAGCAAACATAATGTGAGGTTGAGGAGAGGGCAAAATGGTTCTCATTAGACTTCTATGTAAGTTCAGGCAACTGCTGTAGAGGTGAACTAGTCCTGAGCTTCAGGAACTTGTTAAACGTGACTGTTTCTAGCTACGTGCCATGCCTTCCTCAAGCCGTGAGTGGCATTTAAACGGAAAGCTTTGCAGGTGCAGAGCATCCCCTGCACTCTGGCATGCTGCAGCGGCTCGGGGGGTGCGGGGGAGATGCCGGCAGCCGCAGCGGCGCTGCCCTGCCCTGCCCGTGCTTTCTGCGATAGCCCCGCACTTCTCACGGTAGAGCCGCATCTTGCTGACCTTGGCCTCGCCCCAGCCTGCGAGGAGCCACCTGCGCCCCAGCGCGCACCGCGCACCGCCCCCCGCCACGGGCCCGGCTTGACGGAAGTAGGTGCAAGCCGTTTCCTCTTTGGGAGGGGCCTGAGAAGGTGGACCAATTGAGGAAGTGCATCGTACGATTGTGCCCAATGGGAGCGCAGGACGGGGTTTAAGAGGAGCCGCAGCGGTACGAGGCACTAGTCGCCGGTGGAGCTCAAAGCAGTAGCAAGCGTGTGAGGCCAGGTGTGAGCGGCCGCAACCTCCTTTTATCTACTTGCAATGGCTTTACCGGTGACGCGTCGCGCCCCTGTGAGTACTGCTTGTGCCCCGGGGGGAAGGAGGCGAGTCGGGCTGTGGAGAGAGGGAAGGGGGCAGCGAGGGAGCGGAGATGGGGGAAACGGGAGTGTGAGGGGACAGAGGGAGGGAATGGGCGCAGGAGGTGGGTGGTAGGGGTGTCGAGCGGGCGAGATGGGGGTGTGTGAAGGCCCATAGGTCCTGCCGCTTTTTGCTCTCTGGTAGCAGAGCTCAGTGGGTTCGGGTCGCGATGCGAGCAGGCTGGAAAGAGCTCTTCCCGGGGCGGGGGTGTGGCGGCACTCGGTGCTTCATCCGTCCGGGAGCATCCCTGGGCTTCAGCGTGGAGTGGGACCCGCGGCAGGGCTGGGAGGGGGGGAAGGCTGCGCGGGGTTGAGCTCAGAGGTGGGGGCACGCGCCTCCCGCGGGGGGGCTCTGCGCTGCGCACGGCACGCCCTCATCCTGGCCCGCGGCGGGGGGTGAGGAGCACTAAAGCTGTGGTAACGAGAGGGGAGGGAGGGAGGGAGGGGGCAGAAGAATCTGTTCTCAGTGGCGGCTGGTGGACCCCTGCAGGCTGGTCGATCCTAACCCCGCGAGGAACCTTAGAGAACGGGTGCCTCGTGTGCTGTGTGTAACGTGTGTTCGTGTCTGCATGCATAACTAATTTATATGGTCTGTGTGTAATAAAGAAATGGCTTTGTTCATGAGAATAAAACCGTAGTTACAAACGTGTGAAGACAATAAACGGCGACGCGGCAGATAAGCACTCTACAAAAAGTTGTCACTGGGGAAGAATGAGATAGGGTGCATTGCTGTAATACTAGAGAGTAGTACTCCCTGAAACCTATATAGAGGAGATTTCTTTTAAGCATGTGTGAATAAATAGGGCATAAAAACTGGTTGAGTGATGGACAGCATGCATAGAGGTATGGTGGTGGTAAGTGTATAATGGAGTTAAGCACCTGAAAGGTCTCGGAGTCTTAAGCTGTGCTTTTATTGTTTTAGGTCACTAGAGGGGTGGAAAATGCTCTGGTTGACCTCAAGAGTAAAGGTAAAACTCGCCTTCCTGGCAGAAGGGCTGCTTTGGAAGAAATAGGGAATAAAGTTACGACAAGAGGAACACGCATAGCTAAGGTAAAGGAACATTTGAAATCCTTGCATAAGGAAAAGGTGGATTACTGGCTCTGTACTAATTGTAATGATTTGGACTGCAGAAAACGGAATGCTGCAAACCATCCATAAAGCCTACAAAAGGACCCAATAAGGTGACAAATGCAACTGTACTGCCTAAATCTCCAGCTGCTGTGAATCAAGCTTTGAAAGAAACTGATGTTCCAAAGGTAAGAAATAATGATACTGTTCTGATTCTTAATTTGATTTGAAACTTAGAGCTCTAACTTCAGAATAGGTTATCTGTATCTCATTTATATGATGTGTCTGATTTCTCTGCTGAAAAAGCTGAGGTTTTGGTTGAATGTATGTTGTGTTTAAAGGCTAACATTAAAGTGGTAGGTTTTGAGGTACTGGATGAAGCTTCTGCTTTAGATGGCAGTTACGAGAAGGCTTTCTGATTCTGTCTGTGCAGCATCTTGGTGAAAGCTTGCAGTGCTAGAATGCAAACTCAGTTTCAACTTCTTTTATCTTAAGGAACTGTTAACAACTGGAGAAAAATGTAGAAACAAAGGAGCGTTGCAATGTAAACTGTAAATATGTAAGCACTATAATCTTCCTTAGGTTCTGTCTCCTGTCCCTATGGATGTGTCTATGCAAGAGGAGGATTTGTGCCAAGCCTTCTCTGATGTGTTGCTCAACAATGTAGAAGACATTGATGCTGAGGACTGTGGGGATCCCCAGCTTTGTAGTGACTACGTAAAAGATATCTATGAGTACCTGAGAGAGCTCGAGGTAGGACATTCTGAGTCTGTGCTTTTGCAGTATAGTGTTGATCTTGTTGCTCACACAGCTTTTTCTTCAACAGCTGCAGCAATCGGTCCGCCCACGTTACCTTGATGGGAAGACGATCAATGGGCGTATGCGTTCCATTTTGGTTGACTGGCTTGTCCAGGTCCACTCAAGATTCCACCTTTTGCAGGAAACCCTGTATATGTGTGTTGCAGTTGTGGATCGCTTCTTACAAGTAAGATATTTTTCAGTTCATGTTTGGATTAAGAGACTTGTTCAACTACTGTGAGTTAGATTTGTAAGGAAAGGATAAATCCTAAGAACCTACACAGTCCACTCTGTGCAAGCACTCTGTGTAATGTTGCATCTTTACTCTGAGGCTGCTCTGTCTTTGATCCTGTCATTGTAGGGATGCTTCTGAAATCTCATTTATGTTACAAGTGTAAGCACTGTTATACTGGTGTTTTAAAATGATAAATTAGAATCTGCTAATTTGGAATTTGACCTTCTGGGGCCTAATTTTTAAATTCATATGTTGCAGAGTCATCCAGTGCCTCGGAAGAGTCTTCAGCTGGTGGGTGTAACAGCAATGCTTCTAGCCTCAAAATATGAAGAGATGTTCTCTCCTGATATAGGAGACTTTGTTTACATTACTGACAATACCTACACCAGTAATGAAATCAGAGAAATGGAGATCGTGATTCTTCAAGAGTTAAACTTCAATCTGGGACGACCTCTTCCAATTCATTTCTTGAGAAGAGCGTCAAAAGCCGGGGAGGTGGGTACTTGTCCTCATTATCTAGAACTTTCTTAGATGTGTCTTACCAGGATTGCTTCTGGCACTTTTATCATGTGATCTTACTAACTTTCTGCTTACACACTGGATCAAGAAATTCATCTATGAAACTCCACCATGTGCAGTAACTTGACATCACTGTGACAGCCGGTAGCAGTTAATGTTTGTATTTACTGGCCACTGTGTTCAGTCTTTGTGGCAGTAATTTTACTGTTAAACATACCCAGAGCAGAATCCTTGCTTTTAATCTTTTGCCTGGGGATTTGGGTAGTCCCTAGTGTAAAGGGGAGCAGTGTTGCTGCTCTTCATAACTTCTGGATGTAAATATTGTTTAAGAATAAAAATATTGTTTAAGAATAAAAATATTGTTTAAGAATAAAAATATTAACTTTGACCAGACAGCTCTCTTGAGTGAACTGCCCACACTTTAATAGGCTTCAATTACCTCAACTGACCACTAGGTAATGCTCGATGTTAGGGGACTGCTTTAATAAGGATCTCCTTGGCATGTTTTACACTTTTGTGTTATGTTGTGTGTCCCCCTCCCTCCCAGTGTATTACAGAAGGAGCGTTTGTATCCTTGGTTGGGCACAGCAGTGCCTGGTACTGCAGTTTCCTGTCTCCCTTGCTTGACTTTGTGTCTGAATTCTATATGGGTGCTAGACTAGACTGGTATGGATTCCTGTCTCAATTTTGACATGAGTGCCTGTAAACTATTTTTGTCATTCAATTAATATAATAAACAATTCTGAATTATTATGGTAAGGTGAAGTGAAACTTTGTGGATTAACAAACTCTCAATCTTGTAGGCTGACGCTAAGCAACATACACTAGCAAAATACCTAATGGAGCTGACGCTGGTAGACTATGACATGGTGCACCATCGCCCTTCAGAGATTGCAGCTGCTGCGTTATGCTTGTCCCAGAAGCTTCTGGGACATAACAAATGGGTAAGTATTTTAATAGAGTTAATGAAGGTCATGCTGTAAATAAAAATAGATCTTAGTAATTTTCATGGTACATGTAGAGTAATGAAAGGGTGGACCATGAATAGTGAATTGTAATTCAGCTACTGGTTACTTTGCAAGTGTTGCTGCTTTTATCTTCTCCTCAGTGTAGAAATGTGGTTCTTGGCAGTGGTGTCCAGACTCCTACTGTGCACCAGAAGCAATTCTGGATCTGTTGCTTAAACTGACAGTGCTACATTTCTTAGCACTCGAGGCTAAGCCATGAAGGTTAGGGCATTGGCTACCTGAAGTGACTGTGCCTTGAGCAGCAATCCCCACCCGCATCAATCTCAGATCTCTTGCTGTTACATTGCAGGATGCAAAGCAGGAGTACTACACTGGGTATACAGAAGAGAGTCTTGAGATGACTATGAAACATATGGCCAAGAATGTTTTCAAAGTAAATGAGAACTTAACTAAATACACTGTAAGTACCACTACTTAAATCTTTCATATGTTTTAGAGAGAACCTTTGTTGTGTATTCTGGCTCCTTAAGTAAATGTTTTGTAGGTTACCTTAAAGTCTATGCTATTCTGATAAGGCTGTGAAGAGGGTATTGCACTAGTACTAACTTCAGAGGTTTTTTTAGACCAACTGTGCTCTTGGTAATTTTGCTTGCTTGTTTTTCAAGTAGTCAGACTGAGACCCCAAATTATAAAATGTTTTATATGCACAGCATTTATCTATCTTTTGTAATGCTATTCCTCTACCTCTGCAGGCTACAAAGAACAAGTATGCAAGTAGCAAACTACTGATGATAAGCACAATCCCTCAACTGAAGAGCAAGATAATCAAGGACATGGCTTTACCACTCTTGGGATAACCCTAGGCAGCAAAGTTCTGTTGATGTATGCACTTTGTCTTTATCAGCCTGTTGAGGCAAAACTACTGCTCCTTGTACATAGCATTCCAGCTGTACCAGAGACATTTCAGGTTTGGAAAGTGAAATTTTAAATTTTCTTTGTAATACAGCTCTCTGCCTAGAAATAAAGCTTCTCTTTTATGAAAAAGAGTGAATCTTAAAGGCTCTGTCTAGACACATCTGATGTTCAATGTCCAAGCTAGCAATCTGACTAAATAGGTGATTGATATAGCTTGTAATTAATGTGGATGATTATTCTCAGAGGTTGTTTCTAGTGAGAATCTCCAGGCTTTACCGTGAGTTATATTTTAAACTTACTGCTTTCACTGTTAAGGTATGAAACCAGACAGACAGTTCTTTTCTTGGTGTCCTTCAAATATGTACTTTGTTTCAGTGTCTGGTCTCAAAGTAATATACAGGACTTTTTGTCATTTGCTACCTCCACAGCTGGGGAGGTAGGCACACAGGATGTAACACATACTAGCCTCGTAAATATTTTGTCTTAAAAATCTGCTTGATTTCTAAGACACACTCCAACACCCACCCCCACCCCCCCAAGCTTTCACTTGACTCTTCACTCACACCACCACTCTTTTTGTGTTTTCTTCTGTGTTTTTTGTTTGTTTTCTTGCTGCCTTCCATTCTCCCTGCCTTTTCCCAATTTTCCTGCCCTCACCTAGATTTTTCCTGCCTTTTCCCAGATTTTCCCGCCTTTTCCTTCTTTAGCTTTTACTAGATTTTCCTGTCTTTTCCCAGATTTTCCTACTTTTTTCCTAGATTTTCCTGCCTTTTTCTAGGTTCTGCTCCCTTCTGGGTCTCTCTTACTTTTCCTCGATTTTGCTCCCTTCTTGTCTCTCATTTTTCCTGCCTTTTTCTCTCCCTATTTCTCCCTTTTCTTCTCTTCCATTCTCTTTCTCTCCCATAAATCTACCTGGAAGAATACAGTCCAACCTACCATCAGTACATTCTTCCTTATCACTTCCCATTTTGCTGTCCTTTGCAGCTACTAAACATCAGTATCTGTATAGTGAAGGAATATAACTATGTAAGCAGTAGGTCTTTTCTGCCTCATACCTCATTTAAGGCTATTTGTTAACAGTGCTAACTATTTGTTAACTTGTGACCTGTTCTGTGGGAAGGATATTGTAACTATTGCATTTTATCTTGAGCAGGAGACTTCTTTCTCCCATAGGATAAGTCAACCTAGCACTTCCTGTACATGGTCTGTTGAAAAATGTGCTTGATCATTTTTTGTGTATACGATTCCCCCCAGACTAAGACCCAGCTTCCAGAAGCAGATTCTACAGTCTGTTATCCCTTGCTGGAGAAGGAGTTTAAGTGTGCCTAACCTAGACTTAAGCAATAGTTTAGGAGGGAGGAGATTAAAGATTTTTCAGTTTTGTCTTAAAGCATATGCAATGTGTTAGCATACACAGGACTTCTTTTTTTTTTCTAGCTGCTCTTAATAACTGAAAATTCATGCACAGCGCTTGAGCCTGGGCATGGTGAAAATGTGTTGGAGCAAAGGAAGGGGACTTTTTTCCTTTAGAAATCCAGGCAGTAAAATCAGCAGCCATTATGAAGGGATACGGTTATATATGTAACTGGAAACAAACTGCACAAAGGACAGACCTGGTCAGCTAACTGCTGCTTCTGTTTTATTTTCTGGAGGTTCAGAAGGCAAAGCATGAATGGTGGTAACTAACTGTATGGCAAGCAACAGTCACTCTGGTATGGGAGGCAATCAGATTTGAGCAATAATGCTATTGCCATTTGAAAGGAGTAGTGCATATCTGTAAGTACCTGGCATAAAAACTCTAGAACTACTTCATGAATAACAGCAGTGGAATACTACATTATACATTCATACATGTTTCTATCATATTCAGTTTTTATATACAGTATATGATCTGTTTCTATAAATTTACAGCTCTGCATAAAGACACTTATTACAGGTAGAGCATTAAACATAAATCCAACATGGGCCAGCCATATTACACTATAAATCTCAAAGAAGGCAACATTATTTAGCATACAGTACAATGTGGTTTTCTGTTTTAACTTCTTCGACTGCCTGTTGAAGTCTCTAAACACATCAGCAAACACAAAGCAGTTCCATTACAACTCTGTACAGAATTACTTAAATACACCATCACAGTAGGTTTTTAGATGGTAATATCCCAAATTGGCCTAAATCTTTTTTGACATGTAGCAGCATACTTAGCATGTTCTTCCCCAGAATGATCTGCATTAGAGGAAATGTGCATTTAACAACTTCAGTAGATAATTGCAGAGGTTACTGATACTCAGCTGAAGGCACTTATTAGATACAGCCAGTTCAAAGTCCCTGGTCCCAGACTGCAAAGCACCTTTCTGTTTCAGGAAAATATAAGTTTGAGTACTCTTTGCTTAATAGGTGTTAAAACCAGGTTTTAAATATAATAAATAATTGGTCTGTATATCCATTGCTGTATGCTTCTGAGACAAAATGATCAAAGTCTCTGCTGTGGGTAACTTTCTTCCTGCTCATGTACAACTTCACTGGTGAAAACCCTGCTGGTAATGGCAGATCTCATAATCACCATGTCCCGAAGGCAAGGAAAAACATCTTCGACCACAGGTAACTTCACACCAATTTTTGTCTGAGCCTTTTATATCTTTGTGACATAATTGTTGGGAAACAGACCTTGTTTCCCTCGTAGTCTTCCTGTCCACCAGCCAGAAGGATCTATGACAAAGAAAGCAAAGTAGTGAGGTTCTGTAAACTTTATACCTGAAGAGGCAGCCTTGCAAAACTGTTCCACAAAGTGAGAGCCTTTTTGTGAAGAACTGAGGAAAAATGTGAAGAACCTTAGCTTGCTGGTCTTTTGGCTGCATCACTGCCTTAGGAGGTTGCTTTAAAGGCACAATGAGTTAGGACTGGTTTAAAACTTTTGTTTCTCATGCTATAGTAGCTGTGGTAATTTTCAGCCAAAGCCTGTGACAGAATTACAGAATTGGAGATCTGGGTACAGATCTGGAGTACCAAGTAATGCATACCTCACTGATGAGGTCTGATTGGTGTGGTTGTGGAGACTTGTCTACTCTCTGAGCTGTCATAGAGGTTTGCAAGCTTAATGAGGGAGACTAACTGTGGGGTAGCTCAAAAAGTCGTGTCTTCTTACCAATACATACCTTCTTTAATTATATCAATCACGTCGTTGGCATTAAAGCTAAGCTCGTCTGTGTCCTGAGCATCATACGCATACAATGCCCTGCACTGTGGTACCTGAGGCTTAGGCTTGGGCTGTGGTTTTGGCCTTCCTCCAGCTGGTGGTGGTCGGTTTGTTGTCTGCCTGCGAACACTGATGGGAGAAAAAACATAAATGTGCTTTGAAGTATATGACTTGAACCTAAGCCTTATCAACCCCAATGCGCTAATGGACTGGTTCTACAGAGTATCACAGAACAAGGGGAAAAGGATTCTCTTAAATTTAAAATAGTCATCTAACACTTCTCTGTGAAAGGCCTAGTTAGACAAATAAGTACTTCCAAAGAGCAGTTCAAATGCATAGTGCTCAGTATAGCATTTTAGTGCTCAGGCTAGAATGTAAACAAATGTGTACATGCAGTTCCTGTGTATTTTGGCAGCTACACAGTTCAGTCTGTCTCTCCCCATGCCCCAACTTCACTGTAGTTTCCAGTATTAAAAACAAAGTTCTATCTCACAGTCTTGCTACTTTACCATTCTTGTGACTAAGCTGTAAGAGACTGTCTCTCTTTTAAGTTGCCTCAGACTCCAGGGCCATCTATGGATTTGTTCTGTTATAGTCAACTCTGAAGCAACAGGGGAGATGCTGCACAAACTCTGTCACAGCTGTGACCACTCCAAAGATAGGAAGGGGAAAGAGGGAAGAAATGCATTTTGTCAGCTCATCAGGTAATAAAGGCTGGAAGAGAGAACAGGTATTAGATGCAATATGTCAGTTTAATATAAATAAATAAATGTGATGAATGATTAAAAACACTGCAGTAATGTGGAGGAGCTAAGTGTTATCAGTTCATATAATTCCATAACATCACACAGCTCTTGGAGAGAAGTCTTAGAAAAGTGGATCAGCTTTTCTGCAACCACTGTAGGACAAGAACATGCTGAGTGAGATGTTTTGCTGGAGAGCATGGTGGTTTCTGACTTAGGTTTGTATTGGATTGTTAATGATAACTGAAAGTTAAAGCTGTCATAGTACCACTGCATCCTTAGCAGCACCACACCTCCCTACCCCAGTTCGGATGCAAATGCACTGAGGCTCCACTCTGCCACTTGTGACTCAGTGAGGGCTCTCATTCACTCTCTGTGCCTTTGGGCTCTGTATCAATCTGTTCTAGCTCAATTTTCCCTTTGTATGCTTCATCCATGATACCAGTAATAGAGTGAACCTTGCCCTCCAATTCTCTTTAGCCATGCCTCTGTAGACTGCATTAACAATGGTCTTGCTATTACCTTTGGTCATTCATCAAGCAGCCCCTAAACTACTCATTTCACAGAGGAAAACTTACCTGAACCACACCTCTGGATGTAGTTAGTAATGGTGGTTCTTTTGGGTACAGTAAGAAAGGAGCTCATAATGTATCTCTGTTTTGTACAAGTAATTCCTTTTGATCTGTTGCTGCTGTGAAACTCCCCTAGGATGTGTTTTTCTTAGTGGTGAATGTGTTGGAGAAATTTGAGTGCCTGGGACTGGTACTTAACAGGAAGAACTGGAAGGAAGGACAGGCAGAACCCCTCTGGTGTTGGGCTTACCTGCCACCTCCATTTGTTTGTGAGCTGATCTGTTTGTCAGAGGATATGCTTACTTGGCTAGATTACTGTGTGCTCCAGCCAGGTCCCTAATGTTTATGCTGACCAAGGGTAACCGCAGTTTGTGGGCAGCGAGCAGGTGATGGAAAGGAACACACACAACTTGTCCTGGCCGTGCCAGCCGCAGCAAAGCCTGACCTGCGGCGGTGCCACTATCCCGACAGCAGGGGGCGCGCGCTGCCGGTTGGTCTGCCCTGGGACACCACCGACGCTCGCGGGTGCGCCTGAACCAGCTCTGGGGACATGCATCGACACAGGCTTCTGTCACCGCCAGTACTGGTAGGGACAATAACCGGGTTGTGCCTATTATG